AAGTTCCTTCAACTATCTCAAACTAAAAAATTCGGGGAGAGTGAACGCATTTCAAACCGAATTATTGAAGCATCTCAATGATATAAATATCAATGATTTCTCTGGAACGGCAAATGAATACTGGTGCAAACTAAAGGAATGTCTCTGAAAATCAGCCACTTCCACGCTAGGGCATACTAGTAGGAAGTGCGTTAGTTGGGTATCGGAAGCAACTGTCCAATTGTCTGAAAAAGCTGCCAAAGCACGAATGTCAGGTGATCCTAACTACCGGGTGCTTCGAAGATTTGCAACGAAAGCAGCAAGGCGGGACAGAAATCTCTATTGAGTGACATGGCCTCAAGAATGGAGGTGGCGGCTCGATTAGGCGACAATAGGAAACTATTCTGCCTTCTTCATAAAGCAGCTATGACTCGGGGAACGATCAGTAAAATGGTAAGAGACAGCAATGGCGTACTAATTAAAAGTATTAAGGATGGCCTCATAAGATGGAAAGAATTCTTTGAGGCCAAACTTAACCATGAAGCACCATCTGTTGCTCCTTATATAGCTGATACGTTTGCCGAAGCATACGTTTGCAATTGCGAGCCTCCAACAGAAGAAGAAATAATTTTCGTTATCCATAAGCTTAAGGCCAATAAGACTCCGGGAGAAGATGGTCTTCGGGCTGAGCTTTTCAAATGCTGTCCATTGTCCTTCAGAAGGCACCTTCAACAAATGTACTCTTTAGTATGGAAAAAGGAAATATTACCAGATGATTGGAGTAAAGCAATTCTGCTCCCAATTCTCAAGAAAGGTGATAGGACATGTTGCGACAATTATCGAGGAATCAGCCTATTAGACGTCTCAGCAAAAATTTTTGCTTCCCTGCTACTCAATAGACTTATGGAAGTACGAGACAGCAGGATGCGTCCTAATCAAGCTGGTTTCAGACCAGGGCGCGGTTGTGCTGACCAGATATTCACGTTAAGAAGGGTGTTGGAATATCGCTTCAAATATTTCCAACCCACTATCACGTGTTTCATCGACTTTGCGGCTGCCTTTGATTCAATTAATAGAGCAGCGCTTTGGAGGGTGATGGAACGTGATGGTGTTCCAGAGAAAATCATTAGACTAATTAAGGCATTTTATGAGCACATGTTGGCGCAGGTCTGTGTATATGGGGAGCTGACAGATTCCTTCGAAATAACAACAGGTGTCCGTCAGGGCTGCGTCCTTTCCCCCACAATATTCAACTATGCGATAGACTGGATAATGGACACTGCTTGTCGGCACTCAAGAGGTGTCCGAATTAGTCCAGAGCATCGATCTTGAATACGCTGATGATGTAGTCCTTTTTGCTGACAGTTATAACGAAACGCAAGCAATACTAAATAACATGTCAGAAACTGCAGCAAGAATCAGACTCAGGATCAATGTAAATAAAACGAAAGTCTTTTCGTCTTATGTGCAAGAAGCTGATAAAATGCCTCTTTTTGTAAATTCATTGCCGGTAGAGAAAGTGCCTGATTTCAAATACCTTGGGTCCACTCTAATACCAAATGGACAGGCAAAAGATGATATTATAACTCGGATCACGGCAGCTAGAAATGCCTCCTTCCGGTTGACGAAAGCTTTCTGGAGTTGTGAAATCATCATAAAAACGAAAGTCCGCATCTATATTGCCGTGATCCGTTTGATCTTATTATATGATTCTGAGACATGGCCAATGAGAGTGGAGGATATTAAGAACTTATTTGCCTTTGTCCACTCTTGTCTAAGGTATATTTTACGGGTTCGCCGAGTGGATAAAATCTCACAAGATCGTATCCACCTTCGTTCAAATACCACTTGCATAAATAATGTTATCACAGAGCGCCGCTTTCGCTGGTTAGGGCACATTCTCCGTCGTCCACCACACGAGTTGACGTATATTTCGTTATTTTCTAAACCGTGTGACGGTTGGCGTCAAAAGCGAGGTGGGGGCCAATCAAGACCTGGACTGATACGGTGAGAAAAGATTTTGAACGTATAGTGGACCAGCAATATGGATTTGACGATGGAAAAAGGAATGGCTTCCATTACTGTCGACGATGGCATCAGACCGCGCCGCTTGAAAGCGTCTTACCCTTGTAGCCGTTGGAGCCAGTCTAACCAGTAATGGTGAGAGCTGTTAGAAGAAGAAGAAGAAGACTCTTTGAGCTAACAAGTCGTTTCCAACTATTCTTTAATAAGTCCCCTTAAATTAATTTTTTCATCCTTTTTATCCGATGTTTTTATTAACAATTGCATTAGTTTTATGAACCTGCTACAATCATTGCAATCGAGAATTTTTTAATTTTGATCATTCGTGAATTCGTGAAAATTCGTGAAAATTGGTCGATTTTACCAATTGATCCATAATACATTTCACATTCGACTTATACATCATCATGTTTTTGGTGTTCTTTTATTATCTTCTAAAGAGCTAAAGCCATTAGTTTTCGTAATTTTTCAATTTTTTTCTTTTGTCTCATTTTATACAATGAAATTGAGCTCCTAAACTAGCTGTCTAAAAAGTTCAAAAAAAAGAAGTTAGAGCCAGAGGATAAAGCTAAGCAAACCATTTTTCAGACTCTTTGAATCTAGATCACGTTTATCCAAGTCTATGCTCCAGAAGGCTAGTAATGCAGCTTATCGTTTTACCATTATTATCTTTTTTTCAGAAAATTTTTTTTGCGCTAATATTGTAATATTACTGAAAATATTGGAATGTTATTATTAGCAATTTTTTTCGCGGGTAAATCGTGGATTTTGTCGATAATAATATTTCAGACTACACACGACGACAGATATTTATTGTTGTAATTAAGTACAATATAATATAAGTAATACCTTATTAAATGATTGCTTATTTATTTTTTATTCCATCATAGGCTTCAACGTCGTTTCAAAATAAAACAAAATTGGAGGAAGGAAGAGTGTTCAATGAAAAATGGACAGATGAGTACTTTTTTTGTCGAGACAGATAGCGCAATATACTTAATTTCTAGGAAAGCTCTATCAGTTTTCAAAGATCGCAACTTGAAAAGACATTATTTGCAAAGACTTGCTGATGAATTTGATACATATCAAGAAATATGTCATAAAGACAAAAAACTGAATTAAAAGAGTTTTTCCAGAAGTTTTTTTAAAAAAGTTAATAGTTAAGTGAAATTTTTATAAAAGCTAGTTATGTGGTAGCAAATTGCCAAAAAGTTCATTTACCATGAGATGAGTTTATTAAGTAATGTGTTGAAAGCATGGCAGAAACAGTGTGTTTATAAAAAAAATTAATCTTTCAAAATAAAATCAGCTTTCTCACCACTATAAGCAGACGAATTGAAGAAATAAGCAAATCTGTGGAAAAATGAGTAAGCTTGATAATTTCATATTTATGCTTTGGTGATGGATGAAAAGCACATCTAAATTTTTTGATTTGCATGAAGTAGTAAAAAAAAATTGCAGTAAAGCATCATCATCTGACACGAAAGCTTTAAAAATGAATAAAGCCATGGGAACCATCACCAAATCATAAAAAGAAAAGTATAAAGGATTGCGAATCCCCAATTCCAGGAACTTCTTAAAATACTGATTGTGTGAATATATCATTTATTTTTCTGTCATAAGGCGGCTAAATCAGGATAAAATGCTGAAAAGATTTGTAATATCATATCAAGTTATCAAATCAAAAGGAAATTTTGTGTTAGAATTTGTTGATGAAAAATATCTTATAGAATTTGTTGATGAAAAATATCTTAAAATATCTTAGTATTTTGGTGGATTTAACCACCAATCATCTAAATAAATCAGTTAAATATGCATCTTCAAGGTGAAAATCAATGCTATGTTTCAAAATACAGCAGTGTTCGAAACGATACTTAAATTATGGCAAGCTCAACTAACTCAAATAAATTTTACATTGTAAATAAATTTTTTATATTGTGACACATTAACTAAACACAGTCCTTCGATGCTCCCTTCTTTTAATTTTATTTTGAAAAAGTGTGAGAAATATAAAAAATTATAAAAAGATATAAAAAATAAATAAAAGTTTCTTTCATATTTCTTTCACTTTTATTCTTAACTATTCTACGTATTTTATATATTGAAGACATATCATCTCCGCTCAAAGTGACCCAGAAATGCCAAAAGATTGGGCACCTCTGATTTTTGTGGCTTATGGTTTTGAATTTTCTTCATATCCATCTGATAATGCGAACCTGTTTTGATTAAAAAATAAAAAAAAAGTTTTCGAATAATCAGTATAATGACTAATTTATCACGGAACTTTTCATAAATGTGCGGAAAATTTTTCTTCCCAGGTCTTTTTTGGCATTGTTTTCTATTATTTTACCAAACGAGAGGCTTCTTCGAAGAATCTTTTTACAAATTCCAACTATAATGATTTTCGATTTGATGCACTTCACATTCAAGTGCCTAAATTTTATTTAGCAGTTTATAACGCATTTCAGAGAAACATTTGTTGAACCATTATGAATGGTGGAAATGATAGCAAATCAAAGAGAAGGTTTCAAGGGTTTTAAGTATTTCTATCGAGAGGCCTCCTACTAAAACAAATAAAGTTTTAAATCTATTCAAACAGTTCTCAGCTAATCCGTTCAGTTGGAATAAATTTTTTGAGGGCGATTAAAGTAATCTAAACTGATGGCAAATAATTGAAGACCTTACGTAAAGGGTGGAGGCAATTCTTTCTTATTATAAAGTCCCTAATCGACAAAAATAGCATTATTATATCGATATATTAGAATAAAGTTTAGATAATGCTCAGAGACGATTAATCTTTTAGTTGATAGAATCTTGAAAATTATTTAAATTGGCGCTTCGTGATCAGTGAATTTATTAATATTTTTAATTACAATGTTGAAATTTTCAGATCCAAGATCGGAAATTTCATTTAGTGCATCACCTTGCTCACTTGCTCACAAATAATTTATATGAATTAATTTGGTAACAAATTGGAACGGCAGTTCTTATGTAATAATATGGGTAATCAAAATGCGAAAAAAAGACGTGATGGTAAAAAACCAGCACCTTCAACTAATGAAATCTCACTTGAACGGCCGATGAAGAGGTCAGCATCAGCTCAACCCGACTGTGATCTACATGCCTGTAAGATCTGACTATATTCTTTTTAATAAGTTATCTCAACTTCAGGTTCAGACTCTAAAATGTATCATTTTAAAAAGGATTTAGCCAAACTGCATTCAGTCTTGTTTTTTGCTAAATAAAACGCAAAGAAAAGTAAGAAAGACTCCACGAAATACATTCATGCAACGAAGATACGAATTAGAAGTTTTAGAGTTGTAATTTCTTTGTTTAATCTTATTGTTGAATACATTAAAAATTGTTCTTGTTTCAATTAACTCATTGATAGAATTAAATCTGAAAACCATTATGCAACTGACAATGGCAACGTCAACAGTAATTAAGGAATTTTCCAAATTTTCCCATTACTTCAATGATTTGCAAACGAATAAGATCTCTGCTCTAAGCATTTGTCGCCACTTTACTAATCGCGAAATACATTCTGTATGCAACTGCTCACATGAAAAATTTTTTCAACCAAAAGATTCTTGGTTCGGCGCTGTCATCCATAAGTACTCGGTTATTATTGCAGCAAATATTTCGAGAGACTGTCACAGTTCTACCGACTCATTGCCATCCACTTCGCAACTACCGATTCCAACATTAATAGAACAGAGTAACTGTTCAAATTCAGGTAACTTGCGATAGAAAATAACCATGCAAATCATCATACCAGATTTTGATTCAATAATCTGCAGTCATTATTTCGGCATTACTATTATCTAAGCTTTAAGAAAAAAAATAAAACAATACAGCTTCAAATATGTATATAATATATATAATAAATAATATCTGAACTAATAAATAATTAATGTATATAATATTTGAACAAAATATGTCTGTATTATTTTATTATTTTTATTTAGGATACGAACAAAGAGCGAAAGACCTTATTTCCTCAAATTATGATAATGGTAACGAATCAAAAACTAAGTAAAACATTAATTTTCATAACTACATTTACTACAGATTTTTACTGCTATTATTAATCAATATTTCTGATATACATATATAATATATATAAAATATATATATATATATTTCAGTTATCCTCCCTTAAGTTCATGTTTTCAGAATAACTGGTCTATAATTTTTAAGCCATTAATTATAATTATAATTATTATTATTATTACTACTGTTATCGTATTATTACTGTATTTGCATTAGTAATTATATTTGTTATTAGTAATTATCATCATTATCATTAAAATTTGCATACTTTTTAATTATGAAAATTTGAGCAAATTAATAATGCACATAATCGAATCCACAAATTTTTATTGTCACTATCATCTTATGATCTATTCATTCAGTTAATAGAGTCATCTGATGTCATTTCATGATCTAAATAGCTTTTTCCCCAATGCATTGTTCGGTTCACTGGTTCTCATAAATATACTAATTTCGCTGAAATACTTCTAAATTTAGCTGCCATTTTCAAAATAATTGCTTTTTCCGCATATTTTTTGATAGTCAAATTTTGTGTCAAAAAATCTCTTAAAAATCTGGCATGCATATGTATAAAATTACAGCGCAGTTAATCATATATATGATCATGGTAATGGTGGACAGTCACATGAAGTTTCTTCTTATTTATCTCCACACTTTCTAGGAGGAACAAAAATGAAGAAATCACATTCAAGTCAACAGCTGAATTCAGATAAGCAACGTAAAATTTCATTTATACATTTTGAGATTTACTATCCATACATAAATGTGGCAAGATTGTCCAGTGGTTACTTCGACTGAGATCAAGCATTATAAATTAGTACCTTATCCTCTTTATCAGAGTAAACCTATCATTATTGAAATCTTTAATGTGTGAATTACTTGTGCTCTCAAATAACTCTGGCCAAAGGCTTCCATCCTAATAGCCAGTGGAACCAGAAATAAACCAGAAATGATGAATGTAGTTAGATAATAATGAAACCGAAAGATATTATTTCGTGTGACTCAAAAACTTATCAGCCAGTTTGATAGATAATTTATCAAATTTGAGCGCAACCATAAAAATCACTATCATTTATTATTTATGCAAAGAATTAATAGACTGGGAAGGTTGATTTAGATTAAAACCCGCTTTAGTTCAACTTATATTTCAACTTCTATACTTTGTCTCCTCCTTTTCGTATGAATGAGATAGCCAATTTAATAGTTGGCAAAGCGATCGTTCGTTCTATTAATAAGTTCATAATTCCAAAAAAAATGATGGCCTAAGAAAATCTTGCATTTTTGCCGACTTGATCATAATTTTTCCGTTCTTTCATGTGTAGATTTCTTTAATAATCCAGCATCATCTCCTGATTCGGATACACCAGCTTATTCTTCAAGAAGGTCGAGAAATCCAGCTGAACAGACAACAATATCACCGTCCAAAATCGTCAAATCACATACATCCCACAATTTTCAAGGTTATGGTATGAAATTTTTTTCATTATTTTTGACGTAAATAAAATGTGCAAAGCAATGAATAAAGATATAGATGTACACAAGAGCTGAGAACGGCAGACAATGTTTATTTTGAGCTAATTCATTAATTAATTCCAAATTAGAAAGTTTGATTATAGTTCATATAGAATAGATTCCAAATGGGCTGAAGCAATAAATTTATGCTTGAAAGGAAATATTTGGGTCCTATAGCTTTTAGCTCAGAATAAACATTGTCTGTCGTTTAGTAAAATCTCTATAGTTTGCAGCAAACTTTGGCTCATATCCACTATCGTTACGAGAGGAAAGGATTTTTCACATATCCGATCTGAACTATAATTAATAATCTTTATCAGTAATAACCTTTTACCAGTGAGCCAGGTGAAATGCACCTCTATTTCTATTGATAAATGACAGTCCTATGGCGAAAGGAAATTACCTTAGAATTAGAGAGGATAAGAGATATCAGAAGAAAAAGAATTTTTAGGAAAAAACAAGCAAAAAACTGCAAGTACTTTTCAATATTTTTATTTATGCCTTGAGGGTTTAGTTATTATTGGGTTCATTTTATTTTCCATGAAATCTATTTAATAGAAGTTTTCATGAATTTTTCAAGCTACTTTTTATCCATTAATTTTGAACGACTTTTAGTCGATGATCAATATAAGATGCGCAATTTATAAAAATAATCAACTAGTTTCTTATTTTTTGATTAGGTTAACCTATTATATTCTTTACACTACTTAATCATGTAATTTAGTCTCGTAACAAAGCCATGTAATTTTGCAAACATTTTGTTAAATTTCTTTTCTGGTGCATTATTTATAGAAATCAAATTCCAAATAATATTCTTTTCCACCTTTAATTCCACCAAGCCTCATCATTTTTGGTTTTAATAATTTCATGGTTCATGGTTCATTCATTTTTTATTTTACGGACTATCTTTTCGCTATTCATTTTGCCAACAAGAAATTCCATTATTTAAAACAAAATAAAGCCGACAACATATGGCGAGAAACCTTCGCCTTCACGCATTTATCAATCATCTATTAACCATTTTCCAAAGAATTTTTTTCTACTTTCCATAATTTCATGCTATCAATTATTTTTTATCATAAAATTTGTTAACATTTCGTAGCCATACTGAATCATAATGCATATTATTTCAATAAAGGAAAGTATTTCGAAATTATAGTCGGATGTATGATGCCAAGGCAATGCTTAATTATAAAAGCCTCTCAAAATACTAAAAACCAAAATTCGGAATGAGAAAAAAGTTATAAAAATTTCATTTTTCTGATTTGCTTTGTTGGTAAGAATAACCTCAGAAAAGTTTGACCTCCACTTAAAATAATTATTTGGGGGATTAGTGGACTGTGTTGAAGAAAACCTACACTTGATTCCACAAATTATAATTGATTTGGAGATGAGTATTATGCAATAAGAAGCCAGTTTCCTACTATAAATCAAAAAGTTTCTTTGTATTTGGTGGAAAACTCAGACGAATGTATTGACAAATCGTTATGCAAACAATGAGGGTTTTAGTTTAAAAATTCATCTAAGCGATGCTTATATATTTTGATACTTCTACTGAAAATGAAATTCCAGTGACCTTTGAAGAGCTAAAACCTCATCTTTCACAAGATGCTAAAGAAGTCATCCATTATTTTGAGAATAACTAAGCTGGGCAGAGTGAAAAGATATCTTCGAGATGGTGTTATTATCACGCCATCACCTTTGATTCGTCCTTATGGTCAATACATGGCAACAAAGATTTCTTTTTCCTTGTACATAAAATTGCATCGAGACATGATACAGGCAATAAGGAAAGTTTTATAAGAAACTCACATGTGGACGTTTGTAAAATGAAGGAAGAAATTCAACTGGAACAGCCTCTGGAAAATGAGGATTCGCTTTTTCAAAGAAGGAAAAAAATCATAGTGGAAAACCTAAAAATTTAGCTATCAACGAAATAATCCTTCTTAGTTTAATGGGCTTTCTGTGGGCTTATAGCACACAATTAAATTTTTTATCAAAATTTTTTGCCTTTTTAATTTCGTCTTATTTCGGATTTTTTTTCGAAACCTTTATTTTTAATTGTTTTTCGACCATTTCATTCTTTCAAAGCCAATCCTTTATTTTCTTGATTTTTTTTTGAATATTGAACATATTTGTTTTCATTAATCACCCATCTTAAGTGCATTAATATGAAAATAATGTGAAAATAATTCTTTTAAACATAAGAGATTAGAACATTTCTGACATTGTTTTTGCCATAAAAGAAGGTCAACATATTTTTGAAGTTTTTTTCCCTATTCGAGATTTTGATTTTCGGTATTTTGATAAATCACACACCGATGCTAAGGGACTTAAGGCAAAGGAAACTATGATTTTTCATTCATATGGATACGAAGTGTGCAGTATGCAGTTCAAAAGAAAGTGGGCTTCATTATCACTCCCTTTACGATGCTTTATTATAGTAAATGGTAATGACGGTAGCAATGAAAAAGTTTGAAATAATGATAAGATGGATTTTTTCATCAGAAAACACTGAAAAAATATATGAGTTCGATCATAATATCATATCATTTCATATACTCTATATTGTAACAATTGATAATGATTAATCGGTGTTAATGTTATTTTGTGGTAAATCTTGTCAATTTAAAAATATAAATTAATTGTCTTTCATCATTTTTCATTATTATTATTATAACTACTAATAATATTTATTACTATTATTATTGGTGATATTATCAATATTACTGTTATAATATAATTGCTAATATTATTATCAGTGTTTTCATTATTTTCATTATTTTTTTTTCCAAGAACGCTCACCATTTCTGTTTAGGCTAGCTCCGCTGTAGAAGTCGGTAAATTTTACCGAGGAATCATTTGGCAATAAAAGTGTAGATGAATTTCCAGCTTCATCCAACTTTTCGAAAGGCACCTTTCCTGTCGGGAGAAGAACCGCAGGTTCGCCTTTCCAAAATAACAGCAACAACCTACTTAGCAATCTTACCCTATTGTGCTATTATTGTAGTTCTATAATTATTATTACAATTATTATTACTATTATTGCCATCATTACCATTATTATTTACCATTATTATTAATTACTACTATTTTGATTCTTAAAATATTTCGTTGATAGTATTTTTCATGATAAATGATAGACGAGCAATTAAAATGATTGACACAGCTTTCAGTAATTAATTCATTTATGTGCTGATTTTTCATTTATCATTATAGATTGTTAAATAGGATTATTTTGTGAGAAATCTTCAGTACACTTTGGAAAATTAAAAAGAACTGGAATTATTCGGGCACAAATTATATAACTATTTAAATATTTCAAACACTCGTAAGTGGAATCAATTTATTTTTATCATTATTGCTTTTGCTTTCTCCATTCTATTTGATGATTTTATCCTTCATAAAGTTCACAATTATTTTTACTATTTCCTCTCGTTCCTCTCTAAAATTCTAAATTAAGTTGTGTTATTATAAAGCCATTAGCTATACGCATATAAATCACGTTAAAAGTGGAGTGAATATGTCAATAATTCCTTAAAATTGTTCGATTCGTTTGATTCGTTCATCACTTTAATCATTACTGTTGATCACATTTTTCAATACCAAACTTTCTGCAGAAATACCATGATGCCATTTGATTAGAGAGCCTTTTAATCAGAGATTTATCGATTTTTATTGTACTTCAAAATTGTCTAACCTTATAGATATACCTCTACCAGTTTTTATCACAGTGGCTTTTCTTGGGTAATGTTTTAATCAAGATGTCTATGACCACAAGTATTTAGCACATGTCCAAAAACTTTAAAAAAAAGTGCGCATTAGTTTCGCATGATAAATAGTGATGAATTTAGAGTAAAAATAGAGAGTTGATTTTTCATGAAATCCAACCTCGTCAGCCCATTCTTATTCCACTTTGCTATAAGCAAAATTTATTTTACTTAATTTTCCATCCATCAAATGATTCTTATATCTTTCAGGAATGACATCAAGTCGTTCATATGGTACTTACAGTCTTCAATTAACACTTGCGCAAATGAATTTAGTTCGAAAAACTTGGGCCCATGCAAGGAATCAAGGAGCTCTCGAACCTGCTATGAGTATTTTTCGAAATAGCTTTTTCAAAAATGCCGAAGTTCGCTCATTAATGATGAATGGTTCAAAAAATGTTGGATATGAACGTCTTAAGGTAAATTCTAAAAATTCAGAATTTAAAGAAAGAAATGTGTTGTAGATGATTCCAAATTCATTCATGAATCTTAAAAATTTTTGCTTAAACAAACGGATATTAGAAAGATGGATAGTATTATAATGGTTTCATAAATTATCATCCAATGAAGTTGTGCATTTTAGAAACATGCTAAGTATTTCACCGAAATTATGGACAACTTAATGAGCAACTTAGAAGATGTCGAAACTGTGATAAGCGATTTGAAAGCAATTGGCAAAGCGCATGTTGTCGTAACAAGGGATCAATGTGAGTAGTGTGATTTACGAAACTCTTTCCGATATCGGGTCTCTTTCGAAATCAGAAAGTTTATAATTATTCCTATCAGTGGATAATCATTTTGGTATCAAAAATGTATCTATGGTTATATTTATTACCAAATACCTTAATTTAATTATCATTAACTGCGTCGTTAATTCAAAAATTCGAAATTTTTTCTTATTCTTATTTTTTTCATATTTTTAATGTTAACAAGCGCTAATAATTAACTTTTGCAAACCTATAAAATTGCACCATTGATTGCATCCTATAAAATTAGGAATTTTCTTCTTTTTAGTTTAAAATAGTTTAAAAAAAAAATCACTCGAAATTTAATTTAATAAGGATGATTTATGAACTGCAAACTACTGCAGCTGCTGTTTATTATGTTTAGCAATAGCGCTATCATTTTTGATCTCTTCTATGTCGCCAATATCATTATGGCATATTTTTTATGATCGGTTAGAACAAGTTTTACAAACCGTTCTATCAGTGAAAAAATTGAGAAAAAAAAATCCGAAAAAATCTATATTTAAAAAGAGTGGAAGCAGATACAGTGGGTCTCCAACACCACTCGAATTTCTCTTTAAATGACCATGGTCTATTCTTCTCAAGGGGGAAAAATGATACTTGAACTGTTAGCTGAGGCAATATGAGTTTTTCTTGCTTTTCAATTTACATTTATCATAATATTCACAATAGATAATTGCTCATTTCGCGGTGCGCATTTGGATCACATGGCAGCAGCCATGATCGAACGAACTCTAGAATGGGGTGAACGAAAGGATCGAATTGAGACAACACAAACAGCTTGGACAAAAATCGTACTTTTCGTCGTTGAACAAATGAAGGAAGGATTTAATGAAGGAATGAGGCAGGAAAGGAGAGCACGACAACTGCAAGTTTGTTTTAAAAAATAACCATTGTGAAAAATAATTTCTAAATGAACTAATTGCATCCTTAATTTAATAATAGAGGAGAGCGACGAAATTATACGAAAAGTTAAGAAATAAAAGCATTTTATGAATCGAACTTAAATTGAATGACTTAAGTGGCTTGCAATAGCGGTTCTCAAAATGGAGTTAACGATCTCTGGAGATCTCCAAGATCTTCTTTTATGGCATAATAAGCGTAAGCGTAAGGTTTCTCAGGATTAAAACTATTGGCACTATTATGATATAACTATTAACCATTTGAAAATTTTCAGTTTTAATTCCTGCTATATCGATATAGAAAATATATTGAAAGGTATATATATATATATACATTTATATATATATATATATATATAAATTTAATAGATGTAAGCAAATATTCATACCACAATAATTTTTCAGAGTTTAGAATAGTCCTTACAACAAAATTTTAGAGAACCACAGGCTTATGTTCACTACAAAATTTGTATTTGCATATTTTGTTGTTTTGTTTTGTTTTATTTTTAATTTTTATTTTAACATATTCATAGTAACGTTTCCGTACAACTTTGCGCAGTAACTACTTTCGCAATAAGTAAAAAATATAAAAAGAAAACCAACTGGGCACTGATTCTGTGCTGTCATTAAAAGTCGAGGTGAATTCTGGTTGAATGCTAACATAGTGATTTGTGATTCGTGCAACCATAAGTTTTACCTTAAAAGCTAAGTTGATACTAAACCTTGAAGCCTGAAAGATTTGAGACAATCATAAAGAAACCATTCTTGAATATCTTAAGGATGGCTACCCGGCGAACTGGATCGAAGTTAAGGCTCCACTCAGCCCACATCACAGAAAATGGCGATAGGTACAGTGTTTTTGCCTAGCTTCACGGCTCTATACGAAGCGTACTATTTCACGTTACAAAACACAATAAAAACAATAAAAACACGGTGCGCAAACGTCAAAACCATAAATAACAGTTCAAAGTGTCCCAAATTTTGTCTGGAAAAGCGAATCCCAGCAATATACCAATTTCACTTGTGATGTCTGTAATATGAGAAAAATCACGCGGATATACTATGCATGTATTGCATAAGAAGTACGTTAAAAACTGTGCTGCTTTCCTGCTAAATATTGCTAATAAAATTGAAATTGATGAGGCTGCCGAAATATAAAGTGAAACGCTTATAAAGTGAAATATAACGCTTCACTTTTATGCATTCCAACAGTGGATCCAGCTGAAGTGATAGTTTCAAAAATCCAAAGCGCTACTTCAAAACACAAATTACTTTTTTAACAATCAGGAAGCTCAGAGCGTCTCTTCTGGTTGCAAAAAATTTTATATACCAGTACAATGAAACTTTTGAGTAAGGCATGCATGGCAAAAGCTGTTGTTCCGTCACTGTATATTATTAAATATTATTGTTATTATATTATTTTATTTTTGCTAAATATTATTTTATTTCTGTTGACCTGTTGTTCACTTATGCATGTTAAGGCTGAAGTGCATTGAATGACATAATTTTTCTGAAGTTGGTGATTTTCTTTGCCAATTTGAATTTTTTTTTGTTTCGAAACAATAAACAGTACATATATATGTACAGTAAAAAGTATGTGATAATATAAAAGTATGTCATACATGCAAAAAATTTAGCCTTTCGCCCTTTGAAAACCTTACGAATATACATATAAACAACAATATATAACATAAATTGGATTTGAGTGAAAAGATCATTCCAACAAATTCCAATAAATATTGCAGTCCATCCACAAGTCCGGAGAAAAAAAACAGAATCAGAAAAGTGGCGAAAATCAGATACATTTGTCTATTTAAACTCCAATCTGTCGTTTACCAACTACTTCTTTATTGCCGTTTTTTTCGGTATCTTGTCCTTCCTGTGGAAATATTAAGTATGCAGGCACTGTAAAGTAGTACATAAGACGAATTTACGTTTGTTTGCTTTCTATCTGGTAATTTTTAAGCACCGTAAACCTTAACCGTAATATTTTCAGTTGAAAACGACGAACTGGAGTACAACATGTAGCTCAATGAGCGATACAGATAAGACGCTAGCACAATCCCCAGCTGCGTCCAAGGATACGATGCGAAGAGTGAAGACAATTGATGAAGTATAAGTTCTCTTTATTTCCTTCAACTTTTCAGCCACATATGATTCATTCTGATAACTAATAACTTTCGTTTTTTTGCTCTGATTTTCAATAATTTATGAAAAAATGAAATTAAAACCGTTCTATGAGATGCAATGTACGATGCATATCCTATTAATTATGTACCAAAAAGCATTCAAAACTTTTGCGTAATACTGACCGAATAGTGGATTGGTAGTACCAGGTTGGATAATGAGATGCATGACTATCCTGTTCACTGAGATGCAGACACCTCATTTATGTGTTGTACAAATGAATTTTACCATCTTATTTGTTTTTATTTTGAAAATATTTTCCGATAAAAATAAAAAATAGACCAATCAGACAGATCGGAAAGTTTAATTTAAAAAAAAGGTTGATAAGCAGAAAAAACGGTTGATCAAGAAAAACGAAAAAAATGGAAGAAATTAAAGGAGGTCTGGATAGCTGGACTTCAAAAGATATATATACGCAATAAAGCAGATCAGAAATAACCTGAAATACAAATGAATCATAGCTGAAATAATAATTACAACCGGGGTCAGGATAGTCGAGTTGCATGTCGCTTCCGCTAAGGTGAAACATCATGAGTTCAATCCCTGTCTGTTGATAAGATAAATCTATCACCAAAAGTCAAGCGTAGTTAGTGCCGAAGACTCACTTTCATTCATAAGTTCTCATCCTAGAGACCTCAACCTAGCAGTTAACAACCTAAAATACGGTTAGAGGAAAGAAAATATATAATAGAAATGAGAATGAAATACACAAATTAAATCAGTTGGGAATTAAAACAAAAAAATCATTTTCTAGCTAAACCGAGCTTCTTAGCTTCACTTTCATATATAAGTAGCCTCCACATTTTTACAACAAAAACTTCCGCCTCGTCATCGAGGACCTGTAAGAGAAAACAGATTATTCCAGTTCAACTTAAAGGATCATTTCTAATGGAAAACGAGTGGTATGCTTGCTTCGAATCACGTCAAAAATTTGATTCCCTAACTCTAAAAGGAACAAATCAGTCATCAAAAAATACGGATAACTATGGCGATTCACCTTTTGGCCGATACCCCGGCAAAAATTTCTATCCACATTAACAGTCAGCGGAACTAATCACTCATTTATTTATTTTTCATTACATAAAAACTATTTAATTACTTTCTCAACGCATTAAAAACTACTTGAAATAAATTGTATTTATGAGTTAAAGAAAACAATCAAGCAGTAAAGTTAGCGAACCATAGCAATGTCCGCAAGAATCTTTTGCGGATCAGTTTTAGAAGCTACCTTCTCACACACAAAATCTACGAGTGATGCTTCTTCTTCACCAATGTAATCAGTGATTTTTTTTGAAACCCATGGTTTTACCTGAAAATAAATCATGCCCATATATCTGCCACACCATACAAATAGAAAAAAATTTCAAGAAACGCGCACCCGTTGTTCCACAAGATTTTTATCGACGTAATTCCAATTTATCGGAAAAGCAAACAATTGATCCTTGGAGGTGGGAATTCGATCAATTAAATCTTTTATTAGCTTTTTGCGCTCCTCAGGAGTCATTGCTTGAATTCGATCCTGAAAAAAAATTTCCATATCATCATTTCAATTGCTTGAATGAAATTCAAAAGACGAAAGCAAATAGGTATTATAAATTATTACCTATCTAGCATATCAAAAAAATTAAGTGAAGCATGAAATAGTTAAAATACCTCTTCAGTAATTTCAAATGGCTTCAACTTTCGACCTTTTCGATATGTAGCTTCGTCCTCATTGTCTTCGAACCCAAAAACACCATTTAACCGTGATGAGCTAGCCGGCTGAGGAAGAGTATCATGCGCTGCAGTATTAGTACGGATAACTGGACTTGCGAATGAAGATCTAACAATCGGAGAAGTAGTACCTTCTGCCGGTGAAACGTCATTCACAAAACGTGATTCCGATCCAACTAAGCGATAAATTGTTTATGATTAAGTAATTTAATAAACACAATTTGAGACAAAATAAATACAGCTATAGCTACTTTTAACTAAGAAAAAACCACCTGCTTTCCAATTACTAAGTCTCTCATAAGTACTATTAATATTTTTCGCTTCTTCCGCACTGGCATCGCTTTCTGAGTCACTTTCAGATTCTTCACTCTCTTCTTCTTTATCTGTTTTTTCATGAAGTGGTTTCTGTCCCAAAGGTCGATGAGGATTAGGGCTTCCTGAATCGGCCCGTAGTTTACGAAGTAAAGCTTCCTCCTAAATCAAAAATTTGGAATGAAATGGAAAATGAATATAGAAAAGCATTAAATACTGTACTTGTTCATTGTGCCGCCTTCTTGCCTCTTCCTCCACATTCTCAATATTTTGGTTTTCGGCAATGATTTGCTTTTTCAATTCTTCGATTTCCTGCTGTTCCCGTTGACGATCCTTTGCATCTGCCTCACGTTCACGCTCAAAGTCACGTCGTCTTTGGAACAATGATGAACTTCTAGAACTTAGTTCTTTAAGCAAATCAAAATATAATATGGGAAGAGAAAATTTCCTCACCAATATTTTTTTCTGGAAATGCCAAAAAAACAAAAGAAAACAATCAAAAAAATTGTATCGACTTATAATATTTTTGATCATTCCTTTCATCGTCATAATCTTCAAGAAAGTGCTTAAGTTTTCGTGCTTCTTTCTGCAAGTCACGTTTGCGCTGTTTTTCACGTTGTTCATCCTTTTCATATAATTTAGCCTGACGTCTTTCTCTCGCTTCCCATTTACGAAGGCGTTCAGTATATGCGGCTTCTTTCTCTCGAATCTCAAAAAGAAATTATCATTGACTATAAATGAAAGAATAAAAATATGCTTAAAAAATATAATAAAAATTCCATATCACAAAATAAACGAAAATAAACCTTGCTGAACATTAATCCTCAAGGATAACCGCCACTTCGAAAGCGATATACTTAGCTAAATTTCATATATACCACTAGTAATAAAAAAAATACCTGTTTTCGAAGTGCTCTTCTTTCACGACGTTCTTCACTGTCGTCAGAATCACGATCTCTAAAAATTGTGGGGCTAAAAGTAGTTGATAAAAATTGTCAAAATTACCGTATTATTAAGAAAATTCTAAAATAAAATTCAGAGAATACCTGCTTGGAGTTCTTGAGTGGAAGGCTTTACGACTGTGGTCACCAGATCGATTTGAAATACTACTCGACGAAGAACAACTACTACTTCTACTTGAAGGACTCTGGCTAGACGATGACCGATGGCGCGATCTATACATTGTACTGAATCATTTTCCCTTTACGAGTTTGCCTAACTTCCAATTCACAATTTTATTTAATACAAACTTTATAAGAAACAAACAGAAAACGGAAAAAATATTGGAAAATGAATTCCGAAAAAAAAAACCTTTTTACGGCACTTCGGTCACTATCGCTGCGACTGCGTTTACGGAACTGATAGCGGTCGCGACTTCGCGAACGTGATCTCGAACGACTCCGCCGACGTGAAACGTATTTATTGTTTCCCTAAATGTGAAATAGAAAAAAATAGAAAGAATCTACAATGCTGATAATAGTATCCAAATCCCTTTACAGTGGTTCTAAGCAGGCAGTGGAAGTTTTCTTAAGCTTATGTTGGTATGGGTTATACAGATCGCCCTTAAGCATCAAGATCTACTAACAATCTACTTGTAGGTTCTATTAGAAAATATCTACTAGCAAATCAAAAAAGCCCTCGATCAATTAAAGCATCATCACTGCCACTTCCTTAACAAATTTCATTAATATATAGTCTAAAATAAATTTCAGGACGAAAACTTTAAGATTCTTTTCTTTAATGACACAAGAGCATCAAGCAAATCTGACTAGAAAAACAATTCCGAATAATCATGAAATCTCGCTTTATAAATCTGAAAAACTAATTGATAGTTCTGTTCACCTACCAACCTCTGCACCTGCCTTTTTTAATTTTTAAAAATTATTGAGAAAAATTAAATAACAAAAGAATAAACGAAAAACCAAACACAGAACGATCTATTACATGCCTATTTATCATGAATTTGAGCACAATTCAGTCACATATTCAGCCGACCTTTAGTTGCCGTTAACTGCTTTATAATTATCTGACTCTTCATACTTCTTTCTCCATAAAAGGGTTCATCAAGGCCAATATGTGACAAATCGCACTTATGGGCCATATATAGCCATAGGCCATGTAAAAGACACGTCAAAATGAACAAAAAATATAAATTTTTAAAAAAATGGTTAAATGGGACCCGTTACTTACGTATTACAAGAGCGTAGCTGCCAAATGTTTTTTGGGCATCCTGAAAGATGGAAAACAGAGCAAAATTTTACACCTAATAACAAATAAGGACACAAAAATAAATGAGGATAACATGCGCAATATTAACTAATAAAAGCTTATAAGGGAAAAACAAGAGCCTAGCAATTTGGGCGAGAATGAAAAACATATTTATTAGAAAGAATTACATAATAGTAAAAGCATTGAAAATGGCCACGAAGCGAAAAAGATCTCTTTCTTAAAAAAATATTTAATTAAATAAAATAATTAAGACTAGAATAAAACCATATAAGTAAGTAAGCTAAAATTTTTTAAAAAGTTCTTTGGACGAGTTTTTTTTGAAAAACTTCAAAATTTTTAACCAAATTTTATAAATTTTATTTAATTAGTCCAAAGATATAAATTCTATCCAACAATCAAAATGAATCTAAAACTTTTTGAGTGGGATCATCTCTTTATAATTTAAATATAAAAATGTCATTTAGATTAAGCATTAAAAATTCCTTTAAATAGATTTCTTGATACGTTATAAGTTAGTCTCAAAAAGCATAAGCATAATAGAAAACAAAAATAAAACACTCTGAATAAAGTTAACTTACCAGCGACCAATATATTATGCATCGCGAAGAAACAAACGTTATGGAAGAAAATATCTGAAGAATTACAACCGATGAACTCAGTTCATACAACACAAACATAATATTTCTATAAGTAACGAATAAAAAGCAAGCATGCAGATAAAAAAATTTAATGAAAAAACTTCTGGTACTATTTTTCATATTCCTTGGTTAATGAAATTTTTCATATTCCTTGGTTAATGAAATTTTTCATATTTCTTGGTTAATTAAATAACCTATTGAATATGGAAAATAACACTGAATTTTGCATTTAATATATGTTTGTTTAATCTGATGGCATGCAGTGCAATATTATTTATACCTATGTGATAAAATCAATCAACGGAATGTGCGAAAACAAATATGTTACCAGATAATATTGGAGAACAATAAAATGAAGTGCAGATTCATCAATTTCAGATAATTTCACACGGCTTTTTTTCCACACAGTTCCAGTGTTTCACTGAATGCGCAATTAACTAATATCATAGAGCAAATTTCATTAAAAATCATCTAACGATGAATGCAATTTGGAAAAGAAGTGAAATTACCTGAGAAAAAGACGAAATCGTTGAAGAAACAATATAGAATGAAAAATATAATAAAAATCATAGTTACTTATAAAAGACTAAACTAAAATCACCATTAAAATTTTCATAAAATTTCCGCGAAAGAGAAGTTCAAATATCCTTAAATCAGCTGCGCATAGCTTGTAAGAAGTAGTATCATTGTTTTTTAGAGGAAATTCGGATAGTTATTGAATTTCGAAAATTTTAAACAAAAATTTAAACGAAAAAATTTGTTAAGCGAAATATGCAAATAATTACTGAAAAGAACCGACCTAAGCCAAAATGACTGATCACAGAAATATATGAAATGAAGCCTTCAAGACAAAGGAATCAATTAGATAAGAAAACTTGAAAAAATTTATTAATTATGGAAAATAAAATGGAACTGCACCAGATTCAAATATATTGAAAATATACAGCTGAAATTATCTGCTAGAGACCCGTATAACAATTTTAAGGAAAACAATATGATAAAATGCTTGGTCAGGCTGAACTTATAAACCAGTTCTATGACATCGCAAATATTCAAAGATCTGTTAGAAAAACAACAAGAATCAAAATGAGAAAAAAATGATCAATTAACTGCGAACTGAGTTAGCGCAACACAGTGGTATGATACAGAGAAAAAAGCTAGCTAGTAGCGATCAGATCGAAAATAACGACCGATAAACAGGACGGAAAGATTGAACAGCAGTATATTAAAATGATGAGCTATTAAAAGCAAGTCAGCTCCGACTTAAGCGACAACGTATCAATTTGTCAGGGGAAATTCATCTTATTACAAAACAATGAAATATTAAAGAAAATAAATTTAATTATTTGGAAATAGATAAAAAAAACATCAACAAACTGACACTTCGTCAACTTCGTTGAGCTCCTCATATACTCATCAAAAGCCTATGAAAACTCAATTAGCAAAATTGTAAGGAATAAAAAGAATAAAATAAATGAACGCGCAACGGTTAGTGTGAATATATTGAAAAAATTATGACTTACTTGATTGCGAAAACGGAACGTTTGCGAGAAATCCATGTTAGCACTTTTGTAGCTAAATTTACAAGCAGAAAAACTTCCTATCATTAGGTTAATGTTTTTTATTCACAGCTCATTTACAAGTCCACACCAATATACTTAAAATTCACCAAGAAACATCCTCATTAACTCAAGATATATATAAATTCATTGTATTTATTAAAATACCATAATTTGATAATTTCACATGTTCCCAAAAAATCGCATTCAAGACTTAAAACATTGACCAAAGCGGTAACTTTTCACGAATTCAGCGATGCCGATAGCATTTCCCCTTCTTAGTGATAGATTTAATGACATGGTATAAACCACGAAAGAATGTTTTAAAAAAAATAAATATCCGGGATGTGTTCATTTTACTCCTGAACGTATGCGTCAAAATACACAAAAAATTGACAGAAGAAAAGAACAACTAAGAAAAATAAATCAACCAACCTTCTTCTCTCGACGTCTATCACTTGATCGATCTTTCCTTTCTCGACCCACTGACTGGAAAAGATTCATGTTATATCATAAAATAATCTTTGCATTAGCGAAATTCACTATTCGTGCTTCGTCCAAACATAATAAATGATAGATGTATAATGGAAAAAATAATAAAACTGTGGAAACATAAACAAAAAACGCTATGAACCTTGTCAGAAACAGGAGAATGAGTTTTTTCCTCGAGTTCACCTTCTGAAGTCGAAGTAAAATTAAATAATAAAAATAAAAATGATTAAAATAAAGGGATAATGATGTCTTACTGAGACCAAAATTACCAATTAGGTTTTCATACGAACAAAATAAACCCATAAACCGAAACCATTTAGAAAATTTAATTTCACCTTCAATTGGTAGTAGGGAAGGAGCATCTCCCTCGATGAGGTTCAGTATTTTCTGACGCACTTCTTCGTCTTCAGCCAAATTTTCTTCATCAGCAGGTAGCTCATCAACAGCTAGCGTTTCAGGCATCAACCCTTTTTCGACCCGTTTTTTTGTAACAAAATCTCTGACCATTGATCGAGTTTTATCATCAATCTGAAATCAGTCTAATGCATCTTCATTACATTCCTTGACTTTAAGGTTTTCTACCCTTTACTTCGAAGGAAAATTAATATTCAATCAATCATGGGAATTATGTACATAATATATACATATATATGTAGATAGACAGTTATGTCGATCCATTTTCTTTTTTCCAACAAAAATCGATAACTGATTATTTTATTCATGAATCTTTTCTCATATAAACATCACCACTACTGAGCTATCGCTTGAATGATAAAAATTACTAATGATAAAAACACCTTGGCGCATTGCACCATGTACTAATTTAAACAATGATCGATAATAAACACACCTTAACTACTAATTTTTTTTCAGCGAGAGGATAATCATGTAGGATACGAAGTGCCCTCATCGTACCAAATGGATTCTCAAACTCACAAAATCCAAAAGCTTGAAATTTACCATTTGAACCCTGTATACGTTTCCAAGTTGCTACTGCGCCACATTCCTTAAAAATTTAATTAAAAATCCATTTCCCTGATAATGAAAAATTATCAAGTGAGAAGATGAAAAAAACTATAAAGAAAGAAAAGGAATCTCCAAAAAATTAGTTTATTTTGTACTAGTGAATACAAAGAAACGATGTGAATTTCATTAAGAATTACTTATTAAATATTGCGATGAATTTACTACAAAAAATATATAGAACAAAAACTTACATTTAAAATTGAGCGGATCAATTCATTAGTGCATTTTTCATTGATATTTCCGACAAAAACAGTCGTGACGGGTGGTTTTTCTTGTGGCTGTAATTTATTATTATCAATAATTGAAGGTGCAGAAACTTTTTTTGATATTTAAATTCGCAAATATTTCAAATATTTTCAGTATTCGCAAAAAAATTTTAGGAAACTTTCTGAGAATAAGCAAATCTAAAAAGCAAGTGAACTTTAAAAATAGCGTTAGCAAGATTGACCTTTGGTTGCGGAATTGGTGGTGCTGCCATTCTTTGTGAATTAACTGCAGCTGCAGCCATAATTGGATTTGGCATGAAATAAGGGTTTGGGAAAGACACTGAAAAAAATAAATATCAATTTCCATCTATCTATTACCAATAAAAAAACCGTAAATTCACATCGGTGCCAAATTTATATAGTCAAATAAAAAATGAATTACTGCGAACAGTAAGTTCAAACACATATAATCAGCCTTCAAACCCTTCAAACTTAAATTTTTATCAACCATAACATTAGTTTGAAGCAATAAAACTTTTTTTGTTCAAAACTACGAAATAGCCCAGATAAGGATCACGTGCCACAAATTTTTTCCTCGCTTTGTGATCTGAGAAAAAAGTAACGATTTATTCGTTTAAACAGCTTTGACATTTTTTGTAATCTGTTAAATTTAGTACAAAAAACATGAAAATGAACTAACCAAAGGTCGTCATTGGTGGAATTTGTACACCATAGCCTGGAATTAACCCAGGAAATCTCGGAGGCAACGCCATTGAAAATAGCTCCAAAATTTAACTCTCTTACAATCTTCAGCAGGACTGCACAACTAGAAATTAACAAAATAGTAGAAAGAAACGTCACAATCAAATTAATTACAGATCTAGAGAAAAATGATTAGATTTATTCATTATAATTAATTCACAATTGCAATTATTAGGTTTTGCTGCAGTGGTCGGCACTATCCATAATATGGTCTGTGGTAAATCCATGCTGAAGAGAGAGAAGTCGTATATCTGGCGTACTTTTCTTTTGTCGGCTTTTCTTCTCCATGTTCTTCGCCTCATTCTCCACTCATCTCCCCACCCATATTAATTCAATACCAAAAACTACTCTGTATTCTTTCCGCTGTTTCTAGAAAACACTGATATTATAATATGCGTTCGCCAATTTTGGATACGTCACCGTGGACCTATGACCTATGTAAACCTATATTGGATCTTGAGATGAAATGTTCATTGACCGAATTTTTTACATTGCTGTAGAACTGAAATGCCCTTCAGTTGCTTCTAATCTCAAGGAAACCTAGACTATTTATAATTTTTTCCAAGGGAATTCTTTTCCTAATCAATGAGGAATTTTTAAAAATCAAAATCAGTGAGGATAGTTTAATCTTAATCTTGAGAAAAATTGTTTTCTACAGGACTTAAAACAGAGAATACGAACCAAAAGCTTCCAAAAAAAAGTGTATTAAGTATTCTAAAAATTAATTTACCTAATAAATTAAGGTTTCGATTTAGAAAATTAAAAAATTCATTAGTTCAAGCATTATGATTCAGCCTTTCGCTTTCATGAAAATCTTATTTTGGGTACTAGGAACTGGCTCATAAAAATTCTATGTCCAAGCACGACTCTGGCCAAAGAGTTTCTCTTTAGCCCAGAGTTTTACCTTAGTTAGTGAAATCAGTCAAAAAAGTAAGAATAAAAATTTTAGCATAATAATTTCTCGTACTCTACCAGCAGAGCAGCAAATATTTTCTACATTTTTTGTTCTAGCAACACTAATCACTTCTGGTTTAGCCAAAATCCCACTGTATGATAAGTTTATTGGTCATAATCACTTGAGAAAAGAGAATGCAAGTGGCTCATCAGCACATGATCCAGTTCATTACTAGATGTCGATAACCATGAATAACATTCATGTTTACAGCAGCAGTACCGGCAGTGGCACAATTTTTTCACCATGGAAATAACAATAATGTCTGCTGTAAAAGCACTGATCCTTCCTTTTAAGAGAGACGGAGGTAAAACTTCGTTTATAAGAAAAGTCTATCTAAATCGAGATGGAAAATTTTATCGCCGTGAAGCCTTTTTACTGTTTCAATTATATCTACTATTTATGAAATATTTATTAATGAACATCGACATTTGATTTTAAAAATTTTTATTTATGCCGATATTATTTATTTAAGTTTTTGAGAGATTTGTTTCTTTAATCAAATTTTCAAATTTTGATTCGCTTGTTTTACAAGCCGCTACATGAGATAATCTAATTATTGGAAGCAAACTAATAAAGGTAAAATACAACGCTGAAATTATAATCGTGAAGACAAAACCAATATGAGTTTTTAACAAATATTTAATATCATCATTAGTTTCCACAAAGTTGAAGCCAATACCTCAATTTAAAAAAATACAACAACACCTATCATGAAGCCCAATAAACTAAACAATTATCCAGCAACAACCAAACTTAAAGCTACCCATACCGCAAGAATGAGAAACGACCAACACGCCACGCATAACGAAAAGCTTCATCGCTTTGACAAATTGCCAATCACCGTAGACATAATTTCCCTTTAAGATTCAGCTCCCTTAAAACATTGCGTTTAAAATAATTGTTGTCGCTTCGTGTAAATTAATTAATTAGTGTTGCCGTAGTTTCCGGTTCCTTTCTTAATTCGCTAGAGGACATTTGTTTTTGGACAAATTGACTAATTTAATTCTTTTTTAGTCTAAATCGATTTTTTCCTTTGTTTGCGTAAAGCGCAAATTGCGTGAAATTTGCGCGTTTTACAGAAATATTTTTTTTCAAAAACTTTTTCACATCGTAAATTTTCATTTTTTCGGTTCTTATTGACGGCTTTTGCAGTTTGTCAATTGTGTTTATTTTGTCGTTACTCTTTTTCTTTCTTTCTAATCATTTATGTTTATTTTATTTTTTCTCTATATAAAAACTTCATTTGAGAATTTTTTGTTTAATTTTAATAATCTTTTTTGTCTATTATTGATTTTTCCTCCTATTTTTTAACAAATTTGCTTTACCTTCTAATTCTGCCTTATTTCTTTCATAATTTTATCACTTTTAGTTCTTTGATCTGTTTTCTTCACAGTTTATCTTCTTTAATTAATTCTACTGAATAATTCTGATTTTTTTCATTTGATTGTTGCTGAAACTATTGATTATTTCTTTTCGAATAAGGCTGAACTGAAAGCGATCTCGAAAAAATTCGTATTTCAAGTCAGTTAAAACTTAGAACAAAATTTAAACTTAAATTTAAAAATTTTTTAAATCGATTTTAACATTTGGAAGTTGTTGGATAATTTATGAGTATTTTTGTTGCCATTCATTCTGAAAATTTTGCTTAATCACTTTTCAGATAATTGAATTGCGTATAGTTGATGATGGTAAATAATATCTTAAATTATGTTTTGCTTATCAGTTTTATCACATTTCATTTCTGTAACTCAGTTCGTTTCAAGCCGCGTGATGTAAATTTTCATTTAAATTTGTTACTTTTAATTCCCAATTTTTCTTTGAGAATCATTACCCTGTGATTAGAGTTTTGTCGACCTTTTATCCCCAAAATTTTCCTTGTGTAAAAACTTTGAATTTTTCGTCAAGATAATATATCTCTCATTTTCCTTGAGCGTTTAAAACACTTTCAGTTTTTTCAGTTTTCACTGATTGCTGATTTGAAAGAATATTTTATTTTCAGAGAGTTTTTTCCATACACGATCTCGATGAGAACTCTGTTTTTTACATTTGTCGTTTAACAGATACCGTTCGTTTCAAAAAGTTGTTGAATCCATTGCTTGTGCCTAGAGTTGTAGATACAGAACAACATCGTCAGGTTGGTAAGGTATGCTACTGGTTTTTAACAATTTAATGAAAATTTTTTTCATTTTTGGATGACATCAAATAAATTTATTTTAATTTAACAACAAGTACTTAGTATATTAAAAAATTAAAAACGGTTTTTTTAAAAAAGACCGTTCGATTTTTCAAAATATTTTTGATAAATTTCGAATTTTTTAAAGCTATGACTTTGCAATTTTTTTAGTACCTTAAAAAAACACTTGATGGATTCGGTTTTCATACTGAATGGGATCAGTTCGAGACTGAAGTACCACCCAACAATGAGCGCAAAAAGTTTCGTAATCTTATTGGGACGTACGACAAAGATAGTCCGCGTAATATAGTATTTGCCTGTCATTATGATTCAAAAATATTCCCGAGGCTGGTTATTTTCTACTTCTCCACTTTTTTCCCACTTTTTTTCATTTTCTATTGTTTATAATTATTAAATGATGATTATTTTCGGTTAATTGATTTTCACGGTAAATATTCATTACGTGTATAATTTTAATTTTGAGAACGCTGTTGTTGAAAAAATAGTCTTTTGATATAAAGATGTGGGTGTTTTTTCGTTTTGACAACATTAGCTAAGTTTTTCAAAATATCGTTTTTTTTTTACCATTGATATCACTTTTATTTAGGAAAATATTTATTGGGGCAACTGATTCAGCTGTACCTTGTGCAATGCTTCTTGATCTGGCTGAAACACTAGCTCCACTTTTACAGATGAGATTGATCAAGGTTCTTTATTCTTTCACATTTCGCTAAAATCTTTGAAAATCTTTTTTTAGTTGTTTGGTGCTTCATTGGACTAATCTGTAATCACATGTAAAGATTTCTATGTTGATCGACAAAATTCTTAGTAATGCAGAATTAATATGCAGTAATAGATTTTTTTAGGATATTGGACTACAATTATTTTTTTTTGATGGTGAAGAAGCTTTCGTCGAATGGTCGGAACACGACTCATTATATGGTTCGCGTCATCTTGCTAATAAGCTAAGAAATAATTATGTAGTTTACTCAAATGGATCATCGTTTACTGTTAATCATGAAATCAACAAAATAGTAAGTTCATTAAAATTTGATTAGAATTTTTCTATAAATCAAAATTCAATTAAAAGCTATAATATTTTGACATATTTTCTATCGCATTAATATTTTTCATGTTGCCTTTATTTTATTATTTTTAAGGATGTACTTGTATTGCTTGATCTTTTGGGAGCATCTTCGCCAACAATAAAGAATTTGCCAGGTCTTGGCAACCAAAATCTCTTTTCTGAATTTCCAAAAATAGGTCAGTAATATTTCTTAATAATTTTCTTGTTAAAAAACGTTGATATTTTATGTGGAATTTTACTTTTTTAAATTATAGAGCATATTTCATTCATATTTCAAAATTTCTCAACTTTATAAAAGGATTTAACTCTTTCCACATTAACAGCCATATTCACATTGTCTTCATTTTTCTATTTCAAAAATTAAGTTTAACAAATTTTTGAGTGGGAACCAAGAAGAAATTTTTTCAGAATTGAGAATTTAGAATATATTAATAACACGCATTGATATGATTTAATTTTTGTTAATCATTTAATATATTTAATATAGTTATACTCAAGTACAAATTCAATTTTTCATATTTTCGTGATACGTGATGGTTTTGTTAAATACTAGAATACTAGAATTGTATAATACTAGAGTAGGAGTAGAAAAATTATTATTACTATGAAATGTCCATCTTGTTAATATAATATTCATTTGGTGACTCCAAATCTTTTTTGCCTTATATATTTACCTTTATATATTTATATATATATTTATCTTTACAGAATTGCAGTTAAAACGTTTGGGTTGTTTGCATAATCTGCATGCAAAGATTTTTTATGATTCGATTGAATACGCGAGTATTGAGGATGACCATAAACCTTTCCTTGCTTACCATGTACCAATACTTCATCTTATTCCGACACCCTTTCCCAGTGTTTGGCATGAATTAAATGATGATGCAAATATACTGCACTATCCAACAATAGATAATCTTATGTCTATTATTCGAGTCTTCGCCGCAAAATATTTAGGCATCGCCTAGGGTGAGGCGCACTCAGAACTATGATGGTTTTCCTATGATTTAATTTTCACAACTGCTTTGTTTGACAAATTCAGCAAAGCAAAGCTAATTCAGGTAAAAATTGTCTTTATGGAATCGTTACCCAGATTATTCGTAGTTTTGAGTGCATTTTTTTCATGTGAATCTCGCTTAATCTCTAACAATTGATGTCTTTATTACTAATCAAAATTTTTTTTTCATCTAAATATTCTTTTAGAAATGTTATTATGTATATTTTTTTTTACCATTTCACTGATACATTCTTTTCTGGCCTATTTTTCAAATAATTGGTTTATTATTTATCAAACTGTGATGTGACGAAAATGAACATGAAAATTTAACTCCAAATTTCAGATCTTCGGTTTCATTTTTGCAGAGTTTTTATTTGTTTAGCTTTTCCTGGATGCTCATTCCTGTTGTGGAGTAATTTCCTTTAATGATTCTATGTTATTGTATATTGTATATTGTATATGTCTTGTTTTCTTCAAAATGTAGTTTTTTTTTCATTTATAGGTGTGATGTACGATTTTCTTAACTTAGAGTCTCGAATGGTTAGATTTTTCTTTAGTGTTTCATTGCGATTTTTTCGCACAGTTAGAATAATTGGATTACTTTTCTTGACAGTTTGTACAGAATTTAAAGTTGGGAAAGGAGAAAAAGACTTGTTGTTCGAGCTGTTTCATATCATCTCATATCATTTTTTTCAATTTCTATTTTCTTTTTATCAGAAATATTTACAGTTATTATGAAATATTTATAGTTTTTATGTACGAAATTCATTGAACATAATGCAAATTGAAATAATGTTTTGTTCACTTTTTTTTCGTAAAAAGTTGGAAAATAGCACTACTGGATTGTATCTTATTTGTTCTTTAGTCTGTCGTTTATAATTGTACAATTTGTTTAATGTGGTTTGCTTTTTGTTTATATCGGTTTAAGGATTGTCGTCATTCATTCTTTTTTCGAATAGTTATTTATTTATTTTTAAGGTGTGCAAATGATACAAATGTTTTACTGCGAAAAAATATACGAAAATGAAAAAAAATGGAAGTCTTTTGATTTTTCTGGTCCAATAAAATTTTGGGATGCCTTTTTTCTTGTTTCACTGAGTTATCAAAAAACAAGAGAGGATAACTTCAGTTATTTGTTTTTTTTTAACGAAGTATCACTGAAAATCGATTTCAGGAAAAATAGATCTTTCCTAATTTTCAAAAATACTTCATGGATTGGACGAGTAAGTTTTTAAGAAATATATCGTTAGCCAGTAATGGATAACTGGTTTAACCAATGATGTTCTGCATCAGTTTTCATGATTTCATGTTGTACGTTGCTTTCCATTAGATGTCTTGGAAATGTTGTGCTACAGTTCACGGGATCATAACCAACTCGGACTGGATGACCGTTTATAACCACTTCACTGCTGTCACTGGATCGTAAAATTTGTCTCCAAGCGATAAAGGCTGTTTTTCGGAAATTGTTGCTGCAAAATTCTAAATAACAAATAATTGTTGGAAAAAACCATCGTCTTCATTTTTGATGTCATGTTATTGCCATATTACTTGCTAGTTCTTTAGTTTAGATTTGGATTTTAATGAATTTGAATAATTCGGGACTATCTGAGATTTTGGTATATTACCAGTATTGACTAATGATAAATGGATAAAGATTGGTTAAGCTATTTAATTGAGTAAAATTGCCGTCATTTTATACGTGTTGAATTGTTCACATTACCATAGAATACTTTTATTTGTAGGATATGATCTGGAATGAATAATTTCTAAATTTATACTCTTCTGCTTACCTTGAAAAGGCATAGACAAGAACATCGCAAGCAAAATTGAAGTAATAAAGATAATGGGCTGTATTATAAAGAAATATCATGCCAGATCCATTCAATCCACCTATTATAGAAAATTCTTTACTTTGAAAGACATTCAGCGCAATTGTGTCAATCATACGTAGAAGGTAGAACGGCGTATTCAAGATAATGTAAACAACTGGTACCACAAAGAGAATCCTACAAACAAAACCTAGTAATGAGGGAAATAGTTGAAAACAGCCAAGCAACTTCAAAAAGATTGCGAAAATTATGAGAATTTCCAATTCTAATGGCATCATGCCTTCGCTGCACCAAATAATAATACATAAAAATTAAAAGTAGTTTTTTATTATTCGGAAAACCGCCAATCAAAGTAAAATGTAAAACAATCGAAAGAATTCATTGCATCATTCTGGAATTGAAAAAATCTGTGATATACTCCATAAAATGTACCTAGTAGACTGAGTTGCTTTTGACCTTCCCGCAAAATATGTGCGGTTGCTAGTTTGAATAAATCCTCGGTTAACCTGACCAATTAAGGCCAAATTGAGAAAAACTACAATCAAGCATGGTACTACATAGCATAATATCACATCGGCAGTCTCTACAATAACCTAAAAGTATGTTTATTATCTCCTAGGAAGGACATATGGAAAAGGCGTTGCGAGAGAAGAACTGGCAAGATTCTAACGACAATTTTATCGAATAGAATAAAATTGTAACGAAAAAAATAAGTTTTTATTGAAGGAAGCCAAACATTAGAAAAATATTTTAATACATATTTTTAAATATTTTATATTTTATAATAATATTTTTAAGTTGAAATAACTAATTCATTCGAATCTAGATTTCCAAGCGAAGCAGAAAATTTTATCCCATAAAAATCTAAAATAGCGTTGCTGCCATAAATTGTCAAATATAATGAAGAGATACTTGGAGACTGCCGTCGTAGGGCACACATTTTCGTATATTTGGGTAATGTGGATCCGTTTTATCATCATAAGGGATTAGTGACACGAACTGAAGTAGGTTTAGAGCGAAAGGAATTGGAATCCAAATTAAAATTATCTTCCAACGCTGTACATGTTGATACTGAAACTTTATTTGTCAATTTTCTTACTACAAAGCAGCTGATCAATTTTTTCTCTTGCTAATAAATGATTTGGCTCTCGATGAAAATTAAATCTGATTTACTGATAAATCTAAAAAATGATGAAGAAAAACAGTTCGTCTAACAACACTCATACAGTAAACATTTTAAGGGTCCACAGCTTCGATATCATTTGCGCTCGTCCGCAGATATTCAAGCATTGAACCTAATCCGGCTTCGATTTTTCTCAAAATTTCAAAAAACTAACAAAATTAGCTTTTACTCAATGTATGCAATAGTTACTTTTTTTTTATTTTTTTGCTTTCTTATTTCGAAAAATTTTTCTTAATGCAAAATATCAAGCACATTTTGCAAAAATATTAAAGAATTTTCTTAAATTTAAGCATTTTCAAGCATAGATTCAATTTAACAGATTTTCCTTGTTGAAAATACCACTTACGAATGAGAAATTAAAATGAGAACAGCACATAACAAATTTATATTTGTGGATTATCGAGAAAGATCTTAAAGAGAAGAATGATTCAATATTATGGTGCCTATTGCTTCCTTATTTCAATCATATTTCTGGAAAAACGACTTTTTTTTGAGATGTATAATTTTGAAATGAAAGTTAAAAAATGTTTGAATTTGGTTTTCTCGTTTCTTTTTTTTTTCAGACGCCTAATAGCATTCTCAATTGTTCAGCTTCTTTTCTATTAATTAAACACAGAAAAATTGACAGCACTGGCAACTGACAATCAAACTTAACAATTTAAAAAAAGGAATTAGTGTTAATTGTCGATAATTGCGTAGAAATACCGCAAAAGCACTAACCATAACATGCTTTAGCGGATAGGCAAATGCAATATATCGCTCAATCGTTAAAGCAGCTATGGACCAGCTGCTTATATATGACGATGTCGTTAATATATATTCAATAATAACGCATAATTCATAAGCAACGAAATCGAGTTTAAAAAGGATCAAAAATAACCCAGTAAGAAATATACTATCTGCTGTTGTTAGTACTATTAAGTGATTATTTGCTGATATCTAAATATTATTATTATTATCATTTGATAAATTAGGTAGGAAAAAATTCAGAAAAAATTAAGTGCTGTAAAAGTCAAGAAAATTTAATGCAAATTAGCTTTATAAATGAGTTTAAGATGGAATAAGACTTTGATAGATTTATGATTGCTCAAACGATTTATTTTTATTTATTTAATCCACTCTTTTTTGTGGATTGCAATTTTTAATTTACTTGGTCAGTTCTTTTTTTGTGGTTGCTATCATAGAAACATTTTGGCAACAGTGAAGTGTGAACACTTCTAGCTGCACCGTTATTACTCTCAAATCGCCATATCAAGACATCTGATAGCATCTTTGAGGATATTTCAACATTTTGTACCAATAAACGAGCGAACTACAGTTTATTTAAATTTAAGACTATATGCCAAACTCCCTGGAAAACAATTATCCTTTAATGCTCTATTCCCTTATCAAGCTAAAAATGTTTTTGAACTGATGGTATAATATATTCATATATTTCATCATATATTTCCTCTTGATTAGTAAGAATTTGGTTGCTTGGCTATCTATAGGAATGCTGAAGAATAGATGATTATTATTTTTAATGAAACATGATAATGTATGAAATTTCTTTCCCGACGTTGCCATAAAATGTTCTCCTACTGCGCATTTGAAAAATAATTCTATATAAATTAGGGTTAATTTTGTATCACTGACTGAAGAAGCTTCTTTGATAATATAATATCCGTATTTACAATATATACTAGATGAAAAACGTCCCTTTTTTTAAAGAGGGTGTGTTTGAAAAAAATTTTCATGTGCTCAATTTTAGACCAAATGAATAGCTAGAATAAAGGTGGAAAGTTGAAATCTGGGAAGATATGAATTGTGTATCACAACAAAAAGGCCGAAACCTAGTTTTGATGATAGTACTCCTCAAGGCAAATTTAAATTTTTGAAAACATCACTCTTTTTTATTTTACTTCTCTCCTAGCAATATCGATTTTATAACGTAATACATTCAATCCGAATAAATTATTTTGTCTATTGTTAAAACTGATGACTGATATAGCAAATTTGGAAAAAGAACTTTTCGTAATCGTGTATGAAATATTGTGACGAGTGAGATCGTATTACCGATAAGGCCAAAAACAACGATAATAGGCAAAATAATCATATATAAGTCACCATCACCAAAGTCAGTTGCTGTTGAATCATTGATAATGACCGGGTCCGTGAAATTTGAATTCAGTGAAGATGGCGATAAATTCATTTTTAACTGAAAAAAAACCATTGATAATTAAGAAAATTTGATGATGCCTTGCGAATCGATTTCATTAAGATTTTCAATTTAATTGAGAAAACGACCAAACTATTCTTTCATTAAAAATGTTAAATATAGTTAGAAAGAAAACCTTTTGGAAGTTACAAAAAATCGATACATTCTGGGTTCAGTCTAGGATTAAATGATTAATTATCATTGTTGATACATGTTAATAAAATCCCATTAAAGTCATTTATTTAATAATTTACTAAACGCTTTTGATACAAAGATCAAATTATTGTTGTTTTTGTTTTTTCATGCACAAAATCTGGCTAAAGACTTCATTTTTGCATGATTCTAGCCAGCTTATTAAACTTTAATTCTTAATTGCTTAAATAGCAGTCAGCTGCTTGTCAAGTGCTCACTTTATTTATTGAAATTTATATCAGGAAATGATTTTTAAATGATTTTCTAAAGCAGATTTTTAGATAAACTATAAAGGAGTTAGAAAGGATAAGTAAAATTAAATTTGATTATCACCACTCTCTAGTATTGGTCAATGATAAAATAAATAAAATTGAAAAATTCGAAATCTTTGTTTTTAAATGCTCCTTGTTTTGAAGAGCATGAAAATAGAGAGTAGTGAAACTAAAATGAAACAATAATAAAACAAAAAAAAGAAATCATCGATAACAGCCAGCTTTCGATGATAAGATACGATAATTGTACCTGTTCAAATTAACATCTCGAGCATAAGTTCGAACCGTAATAGGATTGAATATGTCATTTAAAAATCCAATTAATGCTTGGTACCCACCTGTCTCATATTCTCAACTGGTTTTCTAGCAAAAATCTCTCATCATACTAACAGCCAATGCAACAAATCTAATCAGATATGATGGGCGTTAACCACTTATATACTTACTACCGGTTTTCCATGGAATAATACATAGATTTTTATTTAAATCACTATATTGCTGAAGCTATCCAACATCCAATATATTCTCTCTACCTAATAAAAGGATTCCTCACAAGTATTTCACTTCGTTTCAAACTAAGGAAGCTCGAGTCGATAATCCGTGATTTTAACGGCTATAAAGTACAGCTTAACTGAAGAAAAAGGTATATTTTAGAAAATCAAAAATTGGATATTTTCACCGCTAAAGCAAAAGAAATATTTTGCTAAATGAGTGCCTTTTTCCTACTATCTTTTAAATTATTTTTTTCTCACAAAATTTGACCTATAAATAAGGAAAAATTTCACTAAAATTCCATTTAATTTCGTTTATTGAAATTTATATAGAACAATTTATTTTCGGCTATTTGATGTCAATCGCTTTTTTTCTGTGCATAATTTAAAGCAAAAAAATAGAATAAAAATAAAAATAAACGCCCGACGTTTCGGAAGTTTTTAAACAAATAAAAATGAATAAATAAAGTGGTTAACGCTCATCATTTCTGGTTATGATAACTCTGCTTACGCTTGTAAATTATTGTAGGGTTACTTAGGCGATAGAAGTGCAAGTGGAGATTTCCGAATTTTTTCGATGAAGTTTAATCCTGTTAGAGTTAGAGGCTGAAATTGAACCTTTGATGCTCGATGCAAACTGAAGCGACCACTCGACCACCTCTCTTTAAGAAACCTAGCATAAATTTAAAAAAAACAATTTTTTTAACATAATAAAGTTTTAAAAATAAGGATTTGATCAATGAAAGCTTCGTTGGGCAAATCAAAGACTTATTTTTCGCAAGAATTATTTGATTAGGAAAAAAATTTTTGCAAATTAATTGAGGTATCGTCAAAAATTTCTCAAGGAAATATTGCTTTACTTAGACTGTCGTGTTGAAAGGCTCTGTATTGAAAGGCAGAGACTCGGCTTTTAACCGTGGCAACAGCAGACGTCATTTAAAAAATCCGAGTTGGCGATCTCCACCTATATTTGGGTAGTGCTAGTGTCTACTTCTAGTGTGACTCCCTTACAAGAATTTATTATTATATTAATAGCCAGCGCGGTAACCAGAAATAAAAAAACGCCTAACCAGAAATGGTGAACCATTAACACTTATTTGCATTTTTACACATTTTTTTCTTCCAAGAAGATCCATTAACTATTAGTTCTTTTCAATACAGAGCCACTTAATAAATAATAGAAGCAGAGGATCTCATTTCTAATGATAAATTTGCTCTCGTCAATGGGCAGAAATCGGACGTATGATAATAGCTTGGCCTTAATCAAATTACTCATCTTGTCATCATTTTTAAATTGCAAATAGTATAAATTCAACGATTTGAAGAGCTGATAGCATCGGCTAGTTAATTTTAATGATTGGCAATGAAATATGGAATGAAACAAAAATCGATGTTATAATTTCATATTGCTTTTATCAAGTTTTTCATAACTTTGCTTAACTTAATATATATTTAAATAAAATTGCATTAAATGAGCAGAAATGTAAAAAAATAAAAAATAACACAGTTGGTGAAAGAAAATTTCATGAAAAATTCATTTCGTAAAATTAAATTAAAATATTAATATTTATAACAAAAATGAGAAAAAATGAGAACAAAATTAAAAACTTGAAGAATAGGGAGAATAATCATCACTAAAATTTTTCTTCCAGAACATTTGAATATTAACAGCATTACTCGCTTGAAAAATTTATATTCGAGCTAAATCTAGGTATGGATATATAGAGAATCTAAAAAAATTCATTTCATTTCATTTCAAAGAATAGGGAGAATAATCATCACTAAAATAACACTCTTTTACTGTGCATCTAATTCATAATTAACTTAATTCATAGTTCATAATTTGTTTATTATCATAATTTATCCCGTTTTAGATAGCAAATTAACGGCAAATAAATAGAAATGATTTTTGGATTAAAACTCTAATTCAGTTGTGCATTTAAACTTCAGTGATCGCTTTTTCTTTATTCTTCAAGGACGACGCCATAGTGAGGATCGCCTGCTGCTATCCTATCTTGCCACATAAGCAATATATTTCTTTTAATAATTCGTCGAAAATCATTTTTCAAGCCTCAAAAATTCAACATAGATTCTTCTAAAAATTTTTCTTCCAGAACATTTGAATATTAACAGCATTACTCGCTTGAAAAATTTATATTCGAGCTAAATCTAGGTATGGATATATAGAGAATCTAAAAAAATTCATTTCATTTCATTCCAAACTAATGGTTAAAAGAGATAAAAAAAAAAGTTTGCTGACAGCTAAGTCGACCCACTGACAACTATTTAATTAGCGGATTGATCAGCTCTGCTCCAGAATCGTTTACAACGATACTTGTTATACTTATTATAAAATTTATACCTTGATTCGCTCATCTTGACTTGGGCTTTAGCATTATAATGGTATACAAATAGGACTACAAACGAAAAACTACCAACTTTATTTGTGGTCAAATCACTTAAATTCTATGAATAAACTAAAAATAAGATCACAATGAATAATAATTAATTAAAAAATCTAGGTTATACGTGAACAATTATCTATTTACTGTCTATCATATAAAAACCATACTGATAGATATGGCATCGAATTATAAAAATTACCTATTGATTATGCCACAAATATACTTTTGGAAAAAATATATTATTATATTACTTTTATACTGTTAATACTTTTTTCTTTCTTGAAAGGCTCGAAAAACTATCTATTTTTTAAAAATATTTTAAAAACTTTCGAGTTCTTCAAATGCTAAAAAGGTTAAAAATTATCATCATTGGATTTTTTATGCTAATTTGATTGCAGTTATCAATTCTGATCACGATCATGAAAGTGCAAAATTGCAGAAGAATAATAAGCTTTTTCAAACAATTTTCACTGTGAGGCAATACTGAAAAAAAAATGCTTTCACACCACTTCAAATCCACTCAAAATTCTAGATTGTTAGCGAAGTCCAAGCTGAAAAAGCTTGCAAGCAAAGAGAAGCACAAATTGTCAACATCATCTATATTTCCAATTTACAAATTAAAATTTCAATCAAAATATTTCCACGATATCCGATATAAATGCGAAAAAAGCGATTGAATTGAAAACAATATAACTGAGCGAAGTCATATTGATTTATCAAATAACAAGTGATTAATATTGCATTATCAATTTCGATATTTTCTTCCTATTAAATAAACTCAATGACCATTTGTAGAGTAATAATAGCCAAACAAATAACTGAATTCTTTCAGATAAATCAACTTAAAAAACTTTTGAGCTTCCAGATTTCGATTTTATACATACAAAAAATTTTCTTTCAATATAATTTTTGTTTTAATTAGGAAAAAAAATTATAAGAATATCTCAGATACTACAAAATTTGCTGACACTCATAAACGACAATTTCGACCACACCACCCTTCTGCAATTTTTTATGAAAAAACACATTCATTATATTGAAACATGTAAGTGATTACGTTAGCAAAAAGTGGAGGAATTAAACTGCAGATGGTAAAAGAATTCAATCACTGATCATTGATTGAGAGAAAAAAATTGCTTGTTTTATCCATTTATAAAAGCCTAGTGATTAATTGTAAGGTATAGGATGGCTCAGTGGGTTATTGCTCAATTCAGAACGCAATGCTAAGGTTCTACTTCCTGTAGGTGTAAGCTGTCCAAAAATCTCGGTGATGCTGGCGACCTGTACTTCTGTCGCCAAGAAACTCCCCTTTGTTCAGTGCTTCCAAGCCAGTGGAACGAGTTTAATCAATAATGGTGAGGTCTCTTCAAAAAAAAGTGATTGATTGAGCCAAGAATATGATAATTTCAACTTTAATTAGCTTGGGATAAATCAGATTTTTGTTCTGCAATCGTTGAATCATCCTGGAATCCAATCGGCAGTTATAAGTCTATAAACGTTTTTTTTAGAAATGGTGTTACCTCATTTCTTGCTTTTACCACGTGCTTTAGTTTAGATTACCTAAAACGGCCTCAGCGAAAAATTATACTCTCAGCGGGTGGTAGGATTTTGAAGTTTGCTGCAGTACATGTAAT